TATATATATATATATATATATATATATATTCTGAGTGTGGGTGGGATTGCTCTAAAGCCTGTCCTGTAAATTATCCAACTTACAATCACAGCTTCTACTGGCTTTGAGGATCCCTCCTTTGCTTTGTTCATAGGCTGGTATTTTTATCTCTCTGTTCTAAAGCTGAAAATAGAAATCTTCAGAGCTGCCATCCATAGAGATAAAAGGTATAATGCAAAGCGATCTTTGCCAACTGGCTGCCTAACAACTCTCAATAGCCACAGCTGCTAAAGCCAAGAGTCAGGATATTGTATTTTGAAACATCTGGAGGACCCTGTGATGAGGAAAGCTGGTATACAGGAGGAAAACTAACTATTGAATGGGTAAGAGTTTTCTTTTCTGTTTCTCTCTCTCTCCCTACTATCTAACCCAGCTGCACCTCCATGTACAAGTGTGCGTATGCACACACATACATGTTCTTCTGGGCTGTAGCAAAATAAAGTTGAAATAACTCACGTGCAGATAAAAGGATGGGCCAAACAGCTAAGGACAATTGGTTTCATAAGATTGTATAGGTCTGTGGGAAAGCATTCACCTCCACACACACCTTTTTGAATTTCCTGAATGTTCACATATGTCTGCCACTGAATGTTACTGAAGCACATGGGCCACATGAGTCTGCCTAATAATACAGAAAAAGAATAATCACTTTCTTTCGTTTAGTAAAAGGGATAACTAAGCCAGTTATATAAATGCATCATGAAACAATCAGAGCTGATTTGACTCAGCCCTTTCCTATATATATATCTACAAAGTTTGGATCCCCTCAATACTGTGAAGATCTCACCATACAGATTGCAGAGGTACATTATGCCTTGCTTAAGAGAAATTTATGAAGACTTTCATAAAAAGGAATTGATGGCTGGAAAAGGTTACCAAAATATTTATAAAGCTCTTGGGCTCCACCAACCCACACTCTTAGTCTTGAAATGGAGAAGATTCAGGATCTCCCATTTTAGATCACTGTCTAGAAGGTCACAAAGAACCTAGAACGACATCCAGGGATCTATAGGCCCTTTTCGTTCTGTGTCTGGTATCAGAGTATTTTCTTGGAGAACATCAGGCCATCTGTTTTTAAGCTGAAGTGCAGCTGACTCAGGAAAGAAGTTGAGGATTACAAGCATGCAAATCATAGTATGATGAATGAAGAAGAACAAATTAAGTGCTTTGAAATGGCCAAGTCTAAGTCAAACCCCATCAAAACTGATTTTCTAGCAGGTCATGCTAGAAAATCCTCAAGTTTTACTCAGGGGAAACAGTTCATCATGGAGGACTGGCCAAAATTCCTACATAGTAATAAGAGAGTGATCATCAATTACAGGGAGTGTTTGATCGCAGATATAGCTAAAAGTGGTACTATCAGTTACTGAATCTAAGGGATTGATTACATACATAATTGCATGTTGAATTACCTTGTTTATGAAATAAATGAAATATGAAAAAGGTTGGCATTATTTGTTCATTCAGATTCCAGTGGGACCCATGTAAAGCTTGCACATTCAGTGGCAAAGATTCAGAAAATTCAAAAGGAAGTAAATATTTATTTCACAGATCTGTAAGTTCATGAAACATTGTTGATATTATCCACTTATGTAAGCAGACCCTCTACACTAGAGTGGGTAAATTAAGTTCCTAGGGCTGTATGCTCTTTGAGATCTTCAGAAACCGCTGCAATCACAATTACCAAAAATTTCAGCACAGTCCCACCATTTAAGTCAAGAAATAAAAAACTGTAACATAATCCAGAGAGAGAGAGAGAGAGACATTGTGTGTGTATGTATGTGTGTGTGTATATATGTGTGTGTGTGTGAGTGTGTATATACTGAATCTCCCCACCCACCCCAAAATAGAAAAGAATCCATAAAACCCTGATTCTGCCCATATCTACAATATGACCCCACTTATTTTGCATCATCAGCTCACCCATTTATCCTTTACCATTCCAGAAAATTATGTTTGGTCCACCATTAAAAGGCTGGCCACCCCACCACCCAATAAGCCACCAGATACAACAATTTCTCATGCATCTAAAAAGGTCCAAAAAAGAAGCGATAGGCTGTTTCAGATTAAAATAGGTCAAGTCCAATCAAGCCAGCCAGGTCAATCAAGGTAGGAGAAGTCAGATCATAGGAAATTACTGGCACAATTATAGCAGATTCTCAAGAGCAGAATCAGGCCCTGGGATAGCTTCTTCTCAGTGAAAGAATGGTGTCATCTGGAGACTTAAGAAAGCTGTGTATGATTCACTTTCAAGTGATTCCACTCCCCAGAACTCTCTCTCTAATTCTTAAAAGAGCCATGTTTGATACTGCAGCTTCATAATCCCAAAGAAAGGATTTCAAGGGCCCCATCTAGTGATAAGGCCAGGTGATATGGGATAAGATTCATGTCTGAATCATCCTCAGGGCAATGCTGTGATCCAGATGTAACTCCATACTCCGCTCTGTTTTTGCATAAGGGGCAAAATCCTTTTAATTACTTGAAGTCATGGTTGTCTAATTGCCTTCCTTCTAATTAGTTCAATGTCTGCAAAGAGTCTTGCCAGTTGTGGACACAAACAAATGCATGACTAACAGCTCTACTCAGTGATAATAATTGAGAATGATGATCTGAACCAGGTGTTGGACAAATGTGTTGACTTCAGAGATCATCTGCATCCTATATTCATTCTGAGAACCAAAGTGACATCTTCAAGAACACTTGTTCTTCAAAAATACTTGCCAACTAGAGGGAAAAAATGTAGGTCACTTATTCAGCTGAGATAAAATAAAAGGAGACACTCCTCAACTTGTTAATGTGCCTATGGAATTACCGATGGATTTCTACTGTCAAACAAGGTGTTCTTAAGGGAATTTGACATTTAATGCAACAAATGAAATCTGATAGATTGGACATGACACAAAACATGACAAGAGTGGAAGTGATGAGATTGTAAAAGAAATTCCCAGAACTCACAAGGCAAAGATTTGTGGACATGCCATCTAAACAATGTTCAACATTCTTTCTTTTTCTTCCTTTTTTGAAGAAAGAAACTATGTCTTCAGATGGGAGTAGCTGCTTCTAAGAAGAAAGTCCATTTCATTTCAGGAGTCAGAACCTCTGAACAGCTATTCCATATTCCTTTGTCCATATAGCCAAAGGATATGCTTCATCACATTTTGGAAAACTCATTCAGCAGATGAATTTAAAAGGGATTAAAGTAATTTCTGTAGAATCAGCCTAATAATAATGCTGATTTACCATGACAAATATATTTTACATTCTGTATCAGAGGGTGTATGCCTCTTAATGCCACTTGCTGGGGAACAATGCTATTAGATCAGCACATGATCTCTATATAGACTTCAGTTTTATCCCTATAGGAGCTGAATGTGAAGTATGTAGGCTTCTGATCTGAACCAGCGTGGCTCTTATTCTGCATTCAATGGTGTGAGTTCTCACAGGCAACTTGAATGCGATTTTTTTTCTAGTGGGATTCTTCATGACAGCTTTCAAGATCAAAATGCTTAAGAATTGTTCTTCAGCCTAGTCCTGCTTGTGAAAGCAGACTTACTGAAGCTCCTCGGTTCCTTCTGATCTCAAGGAACAACAGAGCACCTGCTTAGCATGCCAAAAATCTCAGGTCAAACCTTTAGCTTCCAGTCAATAAAGACAATACAGAGGTGGATGGAGTGTTTAATATGTATAAGGCAAATGTTTCTTCTGGGAGCCGGAGGGAATATTTCACTGAACAAAAATGATAAGCTCTCTATACATGCAATTTAACTTTGGGGAAAGAGCTCTTCTCCAAACAAATGAGCAAATAACAAAAGGAGGTGATTTTAAAGGCTCCCAGAACTCTGAGTTTTGCAATTTAGGGAACTGTGCAAAACACACTTATTTGGCCAATCTTTAAGGAAATTATTATGGTTGGTTGCATAGTCAGCCAGGTGTTTAGACTGGATTTGGCATTTTATCCACCTATTGAGTCCTTCCCAAGGACCTGGGATGGGCAGATGTTGTTGTTTGAGGGTGTTAAAGGTATCGCTGCAGGATGTGAGCAGTTCCAAGCAAAGCTGCCTTTTGCAATTGACTGATGGTGATTTTGTCAATGCCGATCGTCTTTCAAGTGGTGCTCCAA